AAATAAATAATAAATAAATAAATAAATAAAAATAAATAAATAAATCTTTATGAGCTTCGTTTTGATGTGCTTTGCTGCTGAAGTGGCACAGGAACGGCCTAGTAGGCCCAGGCAGCAGACACCGCAGCAGCAGCAGCAGCAGCAACAGCAGCAGCAGCAAACCAAGGAAAAGGGCTCTAACAAGCAGCAGCAGCAGAAGCAGCAAACCAAGTGAGAGGGCTCAGAGGAGCAGCAGCAGCAGCAGCAGACCAAAGAAAAGGACTCAGCGCAGCAGCAGCAGCAGCAGCAAAACGAATAGAGCTCAGCGCAGTAGCAGCAGCAGCAGCAAAGCGAAAATGCTTCAGCGCAGCAGCAGCAGCAGCAGCAGCAGCAGTAGAAAAGGAAAAGGGAAGTTCAAAAAGCGAAAAAAAGAAATAAATCGAATTTGAAGAAAAGCAGCAAATGAAAACTGGCGAAGCAAAATGAAGCAAAGTACAAAAATCGAAATGACTAAAAAGAACAAAATAAATACAAACAAACAAAACAACTAAAATGAAATGACACAAATAATATAAATAAATGTAATTAATTAACCAATTAATTAATTAATTAATTGAGTAATTAATTAATTAATTAAACTAACTAACTAATTAATTAATCAAACTAATTAATTAATTAAATTAATTAATTAGTTTAATTATTAATTAATTAATTACTTAAGTAATTAGCTTAATTAATTATTAATTAATTAATTTAAATAAATAAATAAATAAATAAATAATAAAAGTACCTTCTGCGGACTGTGGCTGCCCAGAACTTTCTTTTTTTCTCTATATAAATAATTAACAATTAATTATTAATTAATTAATTAAAATAATAAATAAATAAATAAATAAATAAATAAATAAATAAATAAATAAATAATAAAAGTACCTTCTGCGGACTCTGGCTGCCCAGAACTTTCTTTTTTCCTCTCCATTCATTTTTTCCATTCGCTGCAGTTCTGCGCGCGTGGGCACTCGGGACTCATCTTTGGCGAGAGTTTCTTGCAAAATCTGGAAAAGACATCATAAATAATTCGAATTTCGATTTAATTTAATTATATTTGATTTTATTTCATTTAATGCAACTTATTTGGCAAAAAAAATCCAATTTACACCCCAAAATGCCAAAGTTTCCACACCCACAAGCCCCCCAACTCTCAGCTGTATAGGCAGCTCTCAGGTGTATACGCAGCTCTCAGGTGTATCTGCAACTCTCAGGTGTATCTGCAACTCTCAGGTGTATCTGCAACTGTGGGGTGTCTGTACAGCTCTCAGCTGTATCTGCAGCTCTGAGGTGTATCTGCAACTCTGGGGTGTCTGTGCAGCTCTGAGGTGTATCTGCAGCTCTGAGATGTCTGTACAGCTGTGGGGTGTCTGTACAACTCTCAGGTGTATCTGCAGCTCTCAGCTGTATCTGCAGCTCTCAGGTGTATCTGCAGCTCTCAGGTGTATCTGCAGCTCTCAGCTGTATCCGCACCTCTCAGGTGTATCTGCAGCTCTCAGGTGTATCTGCATCTCTCAGGTGTATCTGCAGCTCTGAGGTGTACCTGCAGCTCTCAGGTGTATAGGCAGTTCTGAGGTGTATCTGCAGCTCTGGGGTGTATAGGCAGCTCTGAGGTGTATCTGCAGGTTTGGGGTGTCTGTACAGCTGACCTCAGCGGGTGCGTCGAGGAAGAAAACATTTTCGGAAATTCTTTTTTGGTGAATTTGATTTCGGACTTGAAGGACTTTTTGGAGTGTACAGACAGCAGAGCTTTTGAGCAGCAGCTGTTCGTCTTCGGAGTCGGAGGCAGGGGTTTCTGCTGCAGTGTCTTCGTCGCTGTCCTGCTGCTGCTGCTGCTGCTGCTGCTGCAGCAGCTGCTGCTGCGTCTCCCGCTGCACCAGCTGCAGCTCCTCCCCGTCTGCTGCCAGCAGCACTTTAGGCAAAGCCCCGTTTGGTGCTGCTCCAGCCCGCAGCCGCAGCAGCAGCGAAGAAGGCAGCTCCAGCACGTTCACTGCGAGCTGCTGCTGCTGCTGCTGCTGCTGCTGCTGCTGCTGCTGCGCTGCTGCTGCTGCTGCGGGCGGCCGCCGCGGCGGCGGCAGAGCTGTGGGGTCCTGCAGCAGCTCCTTCAGACTCTGTAGAGACACCGGAAAGAAAGAAGTCTCCAAAAGCTTGTTTGTGTCTCTGCTGCAGCAGCGGCTCCAGCAGCTTTCGATTGCTGCTGCAGCAGCAGCAGACACTCCTGCTGCTGCTGCTGTTATTTCCCACTTCCCGCTGCGCCGCGCAGCAGCAGCAGCAAGAGCGATCAGCACCAGCAGCAGCTTCCCGTCGAAGAAGTCCGCCAGCTCCTGCCCGTCCAGCAGGCCCAGCAGCAGCTCCCGCTGCTGCTGCTGCTGCTGCTGCTGCTGCTGCTGCTGCTGCTGCTGCTGCGGGTTTGCTGCGCTGCTGCGGGGCCTCGTCGCTGCTGCTGCTGTCCCCGAAGTCCCCCTCCAGGGCCTGCTGCTCCTGCTGCAGCTCGAAGACATGAATATCATTCAGCAGCAAAAAGAGCGGCTGCTGCGCTGCAGCAGCAGCAGCAAACTCGGGGCCCCACCAGTTGTCCAGCGCGAGCACGGGGACGCCCTGCTTCTGCAGGTGCAGCAGCAGCAGCTGCTGCAGCAGCAGGAACAGCGGGTGCACTGCAGCAGCAGCAGCAAAAGCCCGGAAGAAGAGGACCCGGAAGTGGCCGCCGGCCTGCTGCAGCTGCTGCAGCAGCAGCTCCGCGCGGTGCAGCTCGCGCAGCGGCTGCAGCCCCCGCTCCAAGTCCAAGTCCAAGTGCTGCTGCTGCTGCTGCAGCAGCAGCAGCAGCAGCAAACCATCTCCAGACACATAAAACAAATAACCCCCCCCCAGTTCTTCCAGCAGCTCTGCGCGGGTTTGCTGCAGCAGCGAAGCCCAGGCTTCGAGCCGCGGCAGCGGCTGCAGCAGCAGCGCTGCTGCTAGCTGCTGCGCTGCAGCAACTTCCGGCCCCACTTCCAGCTGCGCTTCGATCTGCAGCAAACCTGCTGCTTCTCCTTCTCCTGCTGCTGCTTCATCTTCCCTTCCTGCTGCTGCTGCTGCTGCTGCCACCGGCGCGTCGTCCCCTGCTGCTGCTGCTGCTGCCTCCCCCAGGCCCTCTTCGAACGCCCCCCCCATCTTCCCGCTCGCAACAAACACCCCGCTGCTGCTGCTGCTGCTGCTGCTGCTGCTGCTGCTGTTGCTGCTGCTGCTGCGGGCGGAGCCCGCTGTCCGTACACCCAGCGAGCAGCGGCGCTGCTGCTGCGGCGGAGGCGCTGCGGAGCTGCTGCTGCTGCTGCAGACACCTGGCAGCAGCAGCAGCAGCAGCAGCAGACCGGAAGGGAAGCAGTGGTGCAGCAGCAGCAGCAGGCTGAGGGGCTTGCTGCTCACTTAGAAGAAAGCAGGAAGCAACTTGCTGCTGAGAACAGCAGCAAAAGAAACAAAGAAAGAAAATAAAAGTTCATTAAAGGAAAGTAAGAGAGCCAGCGGCGCTGCAGCGGCGACAGCCGCAGCCGTTAGCGAGCGCGGGGAGTTTTGCTGCTGCTGCTGCTGCTGCTGCTGCTGCTGCTGCTCGCGAAGACTCAAGAATCATTGCTGCTTCCCTGCTGCTTCAGCTGCCTGCCCGGAAACACACAAAGCCACCAACAACTCGAGCAGCAGCAGCGCAGGAGCCAGTCAGCAGCAGCGCAGCAGCCCCACGCTGCTGCTGCTGCTGCTGCTGCTGCTGCTGCTGCTGCAGCAGCGGCTCGTTCCCACGCGCTGCAGCAGCTCGCATATAACTTTGAGGCTTTTTTTATTTTTAATTTATTATTTCTTTTCAACTTTTTGTTTCTATAAATCTGCTGCCGATGTTTAGCTGCGCAGCCGGCGCTCCCAGGTCGAGCAGCACTAGCAGCAGCAGCAGCAGCAGCTGCTGCTGCTGCAGCAGCAGCAGCAGCAGCAATACTTCGAGTTAAAAAAAAGCAAAAAACAATTAACTAGAACAAAAAATAAAAGACATTTCTCTCCCCCGCAAACAGCTGCGGCGTTGAGGTGTACGTACACCTCAACAACCTGCAGTTCACTGCAGCAAAGTGTAAAGTCCCGCAGCTTTTAAATAAATAAATAAATCACTTTTAATTCTTTTCCTTTTAATTCTTCTGTGAACCAAAGGCCCTCCTCTCACCTTCTGCAGCTCTAGGCCGCTGGAAATGCTGCTGCAGCGCAGTAGCAGCAGCAGCAGCGCAGCAGCAGCAGCGCAGCGGCAGCAGCGCAGCAGCAGCAGCAGCAGCGCAGCAGCAGCAGCGCAGCAGCAGCAAAAACCACCCCTTGCCTTTCTTTCGCTTCACAGAAGCAAATGCTATTTCCATATAGGCAAAAGAGAGCAGCTAGGGTTTGGCTAGGGTTTGGCTAGGGTTTAGCTAAACCCTAGCTAAACCCTAGCCACATAAACCCTAGCTAAACCCTAGCTAAACCCTAGCTAAACCCTAAACAAACCCTAGGAAGGTAGAAGCCAATAAAATCGGCGGCAGCAGCAGCGGCTGTCTCCTCTAAAACGAAGACAGCAGCAGCAGCAGCAGCAGCAGCAGCAGCAGCAGCAGCAGCAGCAAGGACCACTAAGCAGCAAGAGAAGAAAACATTAACAGTTCAAATGAACCGACAAACAAGGAAAGCCTTTACTCAAATGCAAACAACAAAGATGTGAGGGTGGCTGCTGCTGCTGCAGCTGCTGCTGCTGCTGCAGCGAAACAGCAACTCTGGCTGCGTCTGCGCAGGTCCAGAGCTGCTGCCAGTTCTGTGCACATTCGGGCCACGCCCAAACTGCAGTCAGCAGCAGCAGCAGCAGCAGCAGCAGCAGCAGCAGCAGCAGGGAGCTTCTGACAAGTGCTGTAATGCAGTCACTGCAGCGTCAGATGCTGCTGCGCTGCCTGCAGCAGCTGCAGCAGCAGCAACAGCTCCTGCTGCAGCTTCATCCTGAAGTGCAGCACCTCTCGAGGGAAAGGGGGAAAGGGAGAAACTTCTCCAGTTTGGGTGCTGCTGCTGCAGTTCTGCCTCGAACTTGGCTGCTGCTGCTGCTGCTGTTCTGCTGCTGCTGCTGCTGCTGCTGCAGCTGCTGCTGCTGCTGCTGTAGCTGCTGCTGCTGCTGCTGTAGCTGCTGCTGCTGCTGCTGTAGCTGCTGCTGCTGCAGCTGCAGCTGCTGGTGCTGCTGCTGGTGGTGCTGCTGCTGCTGTAGCTGCTGCTGCTGCTGCTGCAGCTGCTGCAGCTTTTGCTGCTGCTGCTGCAGCTTTTGCTGCTGCTGCTGCAGCTGCTGCTGTTCAGATCTGTTCCTTGATGAACTGCACAGTGTTGCTGACGAGGATGGGGAAGTTCTGCTGCGTGAGGAAGTCGAAGTGCCTTAAGGGGAATTCTTTCAAAAGCATTTTGCTGCTGCTTTGCTGCTTGCTGCTGCTTTGCTGCTTGCGGTGTCTAGACACCAGATCTCGAATGGCCTCGATGGGGCACACGGTGTCTGCGGACCCCGCGAGCAGCAGGGTGGGAACTGAGAGGAATTCGGCGGCCAAGTCTGCGCAAAAAGGCAAAAATGCAACAAATTAATCTTTTAATTTAATTTAAATGAATTAATTTCCTCCAATTTGCTGCATTTGAAGAGGATCGGCGGCAGTTCAAGTTCGCGCGCCGCGGGCGCCGCAGGTGTCTGTACACCTGGGGCCGCCGCAGTTCAAATTCAACTTTCGGCCGATCTCCACTTCTGGCCGGTCTTTTTTCGAAAAAAAAACAGAACTCCGCGCAGAAATGCAAATTAAATTCGGAAATGTCGAAAAAAAGAAAAAAAAACGAAGTTTCCCGCAAAAAGTTGCAGCTTTCCACTCACCTTCGACCTCGAACTGCGACAGCCAAAACAGCGATCTCGCCGCCAGTTTGTTCTCCCAGGCCCCGTCGACCACTTGGCCTTCCAGGGGCGTTCGCGAGGCCCAAATGTGGTGTTCTTGGCTTTCCAGCTGCAGCGCGCTGATGCCGCTGCTGCTGCTGCTGCTGCTGCTGCTGCTGCTGCTGCTGCTGCTGCTGCGCGCGAGCGGGATGTACACCGCGCTCTCAGCTGTAAAGACACTCCACACCAGGTCCTGCACCACCGCCAGGCCCACGCGCGCCGTCTCCAGCAGCCCGCGCTCCTGCAGCAGCAGCAGCAGCAGCAGCAGCAGCAGCAGCAGCAGCAGCAGCAGCACAGGAAGCAGGGTTGAGGCAGCAGCATGGCGCTTCGCACGCACGAAACCGCGCACACTTAGCGTTTCTCTCTCTCTGTGCTGCTGCTGCTGCTGCTGCCCAGCAGCAGCGGCAGCAGCAGCAGCAGCAAACTGCGCCAAAACGTGGGAAACGAATGAAACGAAGCCAAATCAACTGGAGAACATCACCCAAAGCGCCTGCCACTGCTGCAGCAGCAGCAGCTGCTGCTGCTGCTGCTGCTGCGGACCTGAAGGGTCTTGCTGCGGGTTTTGCTGCCGCTGACGAAGGGAATAGCAGCAACAACAGCTTTGATGCTGCTGCTGAGGGGGTGTTTGTGTCTGCAGAGTTTTGCTGCAGCAGCCAAGACGACGCCGCCGCCGAGCGAGGCCCCGTAGAGGGCCATTCTGCTGCTGTCCAGTTTGCTGCTGAGGGGCCCCGGGGCCCCCAAGTGCAGCAGCAAAGCTGTCAAGTCTTCCACTTGCTGCTGCGGCGCTGCAGCATGTCTTGGGAGGCCCTCGGAGACTCCCCAGTGTCTGTAGTCAAACAGCACTGCAGCAAACCCTTCCCGCGCCAGCGCCAGCGCCAGCGGCACCATCGCTATGTCCTGCAGCAGCAGCAGCAGCAGCAGCAGCAGCAGCAGCAGCAGCAGCGGTTGGGAAGCCGCGGAGAGAAGCGCGCGCCGCAGTCCGCGCGCCGCCAACGAACCCGCACGCGCAGCAGCAGCAGCAACAGCAGCAGCAACAGCAGCAGCAGCAGCAGCAACAGCAGCAACAGCAGCAGCAGCAGCAGCAGCAGCAACAGCAGCAGCAGCAGCAGCAGCAGCAGCACCTTCTGGACGCCCAAGCCGTAAGCAGCAACGACAACGGGCGGCGGCTGCGCGAGGGGCTGGGGGGCGACGAAGAGCCAGCAGTGGAGGCGCTTGCCGTGGGACAGCACTGAGAAGGTGATGCGCTCCACTCCCTCCACCTGCAGCAGCAGCAGCAGCAGCAACAGCAGCAGCAGCAGCAGCAGCAGCGGTGGGGGAGCTGGAGGGGTGTAGGCAGCACTTGGAAGCAAAAAAAACGGAAAAAAACGGAGAAAAATGAGGAAAATCGAGGCAGTGCTGCTGCTGCTGCTGCTGCAGCAGCAGCAGCAGCAGACCGCCGCAGCAACACACAGCCCCACGAAGACGCTTGGAATGAGTCGCGGAGCCTTTTGCTGCTACGAAGCGAGAACTGCAGCAAGAGCAGCAGCAGCAGCAGCAGCAGCAGCAGCAGCGGCGGCGGCGGCGCTGCTGCTGCTGCTGGTTTCGGCTGCGGCTGGGGCGTGTGTGGGGAGCTGCAGCAAAATGAAATGCAGAAAGTGGAAAGTAAAAAGAATTACTTTTGTGATTGTTCCGTCGGGGTCTCTGGGGAGTTTGAATTGCATGGGAGCTGTAGTGACACCCGGATCGAGGCGGAGCGCCAGCAGCGCCGCCAGCAGCGCCGCGAGCGCCGCTGCTGCGAATTTAAATCCCATTTTCATTTAAATATTTAATTTAATTCTTTTTTTATTCTTTTGCCGCTTTTTATTTCGCTTTCGCCGCTTTTCCCGATACAAAACGCATGCGCGCAGACACTCGGGGCTGCGCTGCGGGGTGCCGCCGCGCGTTCGGGTGTACGTACACCGCAGCTTCGGCTCTTCCTTTCTTCTTTCATTTCTTTCCACTTTCTCCCTTTTCTGAGGGCCTCGCGAAGATCTGAATCAAATTAAATTAATTAAATTAATTAAATTCATTTATTTCATTTATTTCATTTATTTCACTCATTTTATTTCATTTATTTAAATGGTTTCTCCCGCAATGAAAAACACCCTCGCAAACCCCAGCTGTCCAGACACCCCAGCTGTCCACTGCACTCGCGGGGCAAGGGCAGGCGCAGCGCCTGCAGCTTTTGCTGCTGCTGCTGCTGCTGCTGCTGCTGCTCGCGCTGCTGCTGCTGCTCGTGCTGCTGCTGCTCGTGCTGCTGCTGCTGCTGCTGCTGCTGCAGTGACGAACTAGGGCTTCGAGGGCTGGTCCCGAATTATGTGCTGCTGCTGCTGCTGCTGCCAGTTTTGCTGCTGCTGCTGCTGCCAGTTTTGCTGCTCCTAACAAGTTAATGGACTATTTAAGAAGCACATTAAAAGGAAAATAATTCCAAAATGAAAATAAATAAATTAATTAATTTCTTCTGTCCATTTGCTTCAGCAGCAGCTGCTGCTGCTGCTTCCCCAAGAGCACCTAAAAATTGCAAGAAGACCCGAAAGCAGCAAAGACACGAAAAACACAAACGCCACTTCCCATTTGCTGCTGCAGCTGCAGCAGCAGCAAATGCTGCTGCAGCAGCAGCAGCAGCAAATGCTGCTGCTGCTGCTGCTTCTGCTGCCCTGCTGGCAACGCTGCTGCTCCACGGCAAAAGGAAGTGCTGCTGCTGCTGCTGCTGCTGCAGCACCGGCACGGCTGCTGCTGCTGCGCAGTAGGCGACGCTGCTGCCGCTCCCTGCCTGACGCTGCAGCCAAGGCGACACTGCTGCTGCTGCTGCTGCTGCTGCTGCTGCTGCTAAATAACAAATTCTGCTGCTGCTAGCAGCACGCGCTGCTGCTGCAAGCAGCAGGCACTGCTGCTGCTGCTGAATAGTAATATCTGGTACTGGCAACAGCAGGCACTGTGCAGCAGATGCTCGCTACTGCTGCTGCTGCATCTGCTGCTGCATCTGCTGCTGCTGCTGCTGCTGCTGCTGCTTCAGGCAAGACATTTGCTGCGCCATGTTGTGTCATCGTCTGCGTCGGAGTCTGCTTCGCTGGACTCGTCTTCTGCTGCTGAGTCCATTTGCTGCTGCTTCTCTTCCTTCACTGCTGCTGCTGCTGCTGCTGCTGCAGCAGCAGCGCTGCCGGCCTGGTCGGCGGGCTCGGTCTTGCACTGCTTCGGCTGCTGCTGCTGCTGCTGCTGCTGCTGCTGCTGCTTGAGGGCGAGGGCGCGCTGCTTGAGGGCGTGCAGCTGCTTCTCGATTTGCTGCTGCTCCGCCTGCAGCAGCAGCACCTGCCCCACAAAAGCTTTTATGTCTTGCTGCAGTTGTGCTGCTTCTTGTTTTCCTTCTTTTATGTCTGCAACAAGTTGCTGCTTCTTTTCATTTAGCTGCTGCTGCTGCCGCAGCAGCTCGGAAGGCCCCACTTCGCCTCTTGCTGCTGCGTCTTTGTCGAAGTCGTCGAAGAAGCCCCACGGCAGCTCGCCCTGCTGCTGCTGCTGCTGCTGCTGCTGCTGCTGCTGCTGGGCCTTCCGCTTCCGCTTCCCCTTCGCAGCAGCTTCTGCTGCTGCTGCTGCTGCTGCTGCTGCTTCGCTCCGCAGCCGCGCCACCTCCTGCGCCCGACGCTCCTGCTGCTGTATCCGCTCCTCCTCCACCAGAACCTCGCTGCAGCAAAAGCAAACACACAACCTTTGCTGCTGCTGCTGCTGCTGCTGCTGCTGCTGCTGCTGCGGCTGCTGCAGCTGCTGCTGCGCTTTCAGCAAGCCCGCCGGTGACCAGAGAGCAGCAGAGAGGCCCTAGGGAGCACTGCGTAGGATTAGGGTTTAGGGTTTAGGGTTTAGGGTTTAGGGTTTAGGTTACCTGTGAAGGGCTGTCGAGAAGGGGCTGTACCAGCGCGCCTCATCAACAGCCGTGGAAAGCTCTAAGCTGCTCACGATGAAAGAAGTTGCTGCTGCTGCTGCTGCATCCTCCTCTGCTGCTGCTGCTGCTGCTGCTGCTGCCTGCTGGGGCTCTTCTTTTGTTGCAGCAGCTGCTGCAGGGGCTGCTGCTGCTGCGGCAGCGGCTGTATCCGCTGCTGCAGCCCCTGCTGCTGCTCCGGGTGCTGCATTCGCTGCTGCGGGCGCTGCTTCTGCCGCTCCTGCTGCTGCTGCTGCTGCTGCTGCTGGTGCTGCAGCAGCAGCAGCAGCAGCAGGATCTGCTTCTAAATCTTCTGTCACATCCGCCACCAGCGGCTGCAGCAGGGACTCATCTGGCTCTTCAATTTCGTAGCCCAGCACTTCCTCGCTGTCGTCCTCCTCTGCTGCTGCTGCTGCTGCTGCTGCTGCTGCTGCTGCTGCTGCTGCTTCGGGCGTGGGGGGCTCGCTGTCTTGCTGCTGCGCAGCACGAGCTGCCTCTTGGGGATCGTCGAAGAAGTCTGGAGGAAGTCCTTCAATTCCATTAAATTCATTTTTTTCTTTTTTTTCTTTTTTTTCTTTTTTTTCTTTTATTTCATTTATTTCATTTTTTTCTTTTTCTTTTTCTTCCGAAAGTTCTTCTTCCTCATCGCTGTATCCCTGCAGCACCTGAGACGGCGCTTCTGGCTGCTTGGGAGCAGCAGCAGCAGCAGCAGCAGCTGCTGCTGCTGCTGCTGCTGCTGCTGCTTCGGCTTCTGCTGCTGCTGCTGCCTCTGCTGCTGCTTTTGCTGCTGCTGCTGCCTTCGCCCGCTCTGCTGCTTCCCGCTGCTGCTGCCGCCGCAGCTTCTCCTGGCGCATCAGCTCCCTGACGGAGGGCATTGTGGGGTGTCTGGGGTGTACGTACACCTGAAGAGCCGCAGCAGCAGACTGCAGCGCAGCAGCAAGTCGGGCCAAACGGGCATCGCCTGGAGGGGAATTAAATGAGAAGCAGCAGCAAATTAATTTTAAATTGCTGCTGCAGTTGGCTGCGGAAATATTTGAAAAGAAACTGCTGCTGCAGCGCCCCGGGGCTGGCCTGCATGCATGCGCTGCTGCATGCAGCAGCAGCAGCAGCAGCAGAGAACGGAAGCAAACAAGAAAATCAAAAGACCTTCTGGCCCTCCGGAAAACTGCGCGGCGGGATAGAGTGTACGTACACCCCAGGGGCTGTGGAAGACAGCAACACACGGCGTGAGGCTCCCGCAGCGCAGCTCTCTTCACTTTTGCATTTTGCAGACATTTCTGGCCTTCTTTCTTTTAATTTTTTGCAACATTTGCATTTATTTTGCAAAAAGAATTCAAATCTCGCGGAGTTTCCAGCTGAGGGCTCGCGGGGGGCTGCTTTTCCGCGGGTTTCCGGCGCGCTGCCGGGAGGCGTTCAGGTTGTTGTTCTGCGGGTGTCTGCGGAGTTTTTTTTTGAATTTGCAGGCGCGAATCGACAAAGAAGTCATTTAAATTTATATTTAAATTAAAATGGAACTCGTTTACGCTGTGGGAAGCGCAGAAGGGGCGGCCTGCGCCTTGGTGGCTTCTTACGCGTTTCCGCCAGGGTCGATGGTGATCAGCGCGCTGGGGACGCACGCGGCGAAAGCGGCCGGCCAGGTGCGCTGATCTTTTTATTTTTTTTGCAAATTGGAAATAATTCATCTTTTTAAATTTAAATTCAAATTTGTGGCGTTTTTCGCGCGTCGGAAAGCCGCGATCTGCCGCCTGCGCCCGGGTGTACAGACACCGCGCCTCTACACCCCCGACGGCGAACTCCAGGAACCCGTCACTATTATTCATTATCTTTGCGACAAATCGGATTCCCGCGAAGTTCTTCTTGGTCCTGAAAAGAACATTCAGGCTCAGGTTTGCAACTTTGCAAATTTTTGCAACTTTGCAAATTTTTGCAACTTTGCAAATTTTCCCCCAACTCCCGTCTTGCAATTCAATTCAAGTTTCTTCCCGTTTGCTGCAGCGCCGCCCTTCTCCATTTTTCTTAGTCGCGCTTTTGTTCGAGAGCTTCTCCAGAGGTCAACCCTGGCTTCCACTGCTGCTGCTGCTGCTGCTGCTGCTGCTGCTGCTGCTGCTGCTGCTGCTGCAGGCGGAAGTGGACCAGTGGTTCTCTTTCTGCGCCTCGCGCTGCTTCCAGATTGCCAGCAGCAGCGACTTCAACGAATTCAACGCTGCGCTGCAGCTGCGGACTTTTCTTTGCGGAAATAATTTGACTTTGGCGGACTTAGTGGCCATGGCTTCTTTGTACAATGCCATGGTGAGTATATTTGCTGCTACTGCAGCAGCAGCAGCAGCAGCTGCTGCTGCTGCTGCTGCTGCTGCTGCGGAAGCGCAGTCTGCGTTCGCGCCGCAGCAGGAGCGTTTGCTGCTGCAGCGGGAGCGTCAGCAGCAGCGGCGCTGCAGCAGCAGCGGGAGGCGCAGCCCCAGCTCCGCTTCCCAGACGCCCGTTGCTGCTGCTGCTGCTGCTGCTGCTGCTGCTGCTGTGCAGAGAAGAGCCTCTTTAAAGGAACTTCAAGTTTTAAAAAATGTCACAAGATGGTTCAACCACATGCAGAACCTGCCAGGTGGGTTTGGCTTGCGGTGTACGTACACCTCAGCCCCTGGCCCGCGGGCCCAGAGCTGCAGCAATTCCTTTCTCTTTGCTGCTGCAGCTGCTGCCTTTTATTTTGCTGCAGCAGCAGCTGCAGCAGCAGCAACTGCAGCAGCTGCAGCAGCAGCAGCAGCAGCAGCAGCTGTGGAATTGTTTTTGCCTGTAATTGTTTTTAGGAATTAAAGAGCAGCGGGTGCAGGACTTCAGCAGAATAGAGCTGCCCATAGTGAGTTTAATTTATTTTTATTTTTATTTAATTAAAATTAATTTAATTAAATAAATCTTAATTTAATTTCAATTAAATTAAGCTTTTAAAGTTTAGTTGAAACGCTGCTACTGCAGCAGCAGCAGCAGCAGCAAAGATACCATTTGCTGCTGCCTTTTGTTTTTCTTTTTGCTGCAGTCTTCGCCAGACGAGCTGCTGCAGGCGGCGAAGGCATTGGGGCCTTCGGGGAAGCAGCAGCAGCAAGGCAAGCAGCAGCAGCAGCAGCAGAAGCAGCAGCAGCAGAAGCAGCAGCAGCAGCAGCAGCAAGGCGGCGGCAAGGCAGGGACTGAGAAGCGAGGAGACGCAGCGAGCCCGCAGTCCGCTGCGGAAGGCAAGAAGAAGAAAGGAGCAGCAGCAGCAGCAGCAACAGCAGCAGCAGCAGCAGCAACACCAGCAGCAGCAGCAGCAGCAGCAGCAGCAGAAAGGCCTGTGGACGACCCCATGCGTTTGGACATGCGGGTGGGTTTGGTGCGGAAGGTGTGGAGACACCCGGAGGCGGACAAGTGAGTTGTTGAATTTCGGAAAAGTAATTTCATTTTTTTCGCAATTGTGAATAAAAATGCAATTTTTTGCAATTATTTTGTTTTAAATGCATTATAAATGGCAAATTGAGTTATTTTATTCCGAAAGAATTCAAAAAGTCGAAAATTATTCCCCGAAATGCTCCCAGCAGCCGCTTTTGCAAAAAACAGTTCCGATCTTCTCGATTTTGCGTCTTTTTCGGAATTTTCAAAACCCCCGGAGGTTCTTTTTAGTTTTCTTTGTTTGTTTTTGCATTTCTGACGTTTTAAAATCCAAAAAAAGAAAAAATTAAAATTAAAAATCCAAAAAAGAAAAAAATTCAAAACGCGTTCGCCGCGAGCGCGGACGACTGGGGTGTCTCAGTGTCGGCAGCAGCAGCAGCAGCCGCCGCGAGCTGCTGCTGCTGCTGCGATATCGGCCGATCTTCGTTCATTTAATTTCTTTTTTCGTTTTTGTTTTATTTAAATGATTTAACTTTGCATTTAGAATTCATTTGGCTTTTATTTTTTCGAATTTCGCGCTCTGCAGGCTCTACTGCGAGGAGATCGACTTCGGCCCGCTGGGCGTGCGGCAGATCGCCTCGGGGCTGGTGCAGCACCTGCAGCAGCAGCAGTTCGAGCAGCAAAAAGTAATTGTGCTTTTTAATTTAAAACAAAAAGCCCTTCGAGGTTTTAACTCTCACGGAATGGTCTTGTGCGCAAACTCCGCAGACAAGACCGCCGTCCAGCTCCTCCAGCCCCCCCCGGACACCCCTGTGAGTCCTGCTGCTGCTGCGCTGCTGCTGCTGCTGCTGCTGCTGCTGCTGCTGCTGTTGCTGCTGTGCTGTTGCTGCTGTGCTGCTGCTGTTGCTGCTGTGTTGCTGCTGTTGCTGCTGTGCTGCTGCTGTTGCTGCTGTGCTGCTGCTGCTGCTGTGCTCCTGCTGAGGATGATGGTGGTGATGATGGCGATGCTGCTTTTGCTGCTGCTGCTGCTGATAACGTTGCTGCTGCTGCTGCTGCTGCTGCTGCATTTGCAGCTGTTGAGTGCTTCTCCTGTTTGAGGCTGAATTCCAAATAAATGAAAATGGGGAAATCTGTTTTTTAATTAATTTAAATTTGCTGCTCCTTTTGTGGCATTTGTTTTTAATTGTTAAAACCAAAAACAGGAATTTGATGAATGCTTTATTCAATATCGAATCAAATCTGAACTTCCAATTTAATTTGCTGCTGCTGCTGCTGCTGCTGCTGCTGCTGCTGCTGCTGCTGCTGCTGCTGCTGCAGCTGGGAGAGCGCGTTTATATTGAGGGCCTTTCTGGGGAGCCAGATGAAGTGCTGAGCAGCAAAAAGGGAAAAGACACTTTTGCTGCTGTGGCTCCAGTAAGTTCTTTTCTTTCAAAACAATTGAACTTGCTGCTGCTGCTGCTGCTGCTGCTGCTGCTGCTGCTTCAGCAGCAGCAGCAGCAGCAGCAACAAGAGCTGGGGCATTGGAGTCCAATTTAATTAATTTAATTTCATTTGGATGTCTTTTGCTTTTTTGCTGCTGCAGTTCCTCAACACAAAAGATGACTGCATTGCCTACTACAAGGTGCAGCAGCAAAGAGTGCAGCAGCAGCAGCAGGAGCTGCGGAAACAATGAGCTGCTGCTGCTTGCTGCTGCTTGCTGCTGCTTGCTGCTGCTGCTGTCTGCTGCTGCTGCTGCTGCTGTCTGCTGCTGCTGCTGTCTGCTGCTGCTGCTGCTGCTGCTGCTAAGTGCCGTTTATTTGTTTGTTTTTGGCTTCAGGATTTGCCTCTTCTCACCCCGCAAGGCCCAGTGCGCTGCAGCAGCATCAAAGGCGGTTTGATTTCTTGAACTTCAGTTTTGCAAGTTGGAATTTAATTTGCTGCTGCTGCTGCTGCTGCTGCTGCGGCGAAAAAGAAAACCTTTTTGACAATTAATTTCTTTTCTTTTATTTAAATTGAAAAGAAAACAATTTAAATTCGAAAAAGAAAAAACTCTTTTCCAGATCCGCTGCTTCCCGCGGTGTTCACGGAGCAGCAGTGCAGCACTGGAAGCAGCAGCAGCAGCAGCAGCAGCAGCTGCTGCTGCTGCTCTTTCACTTTGGAGTTGAAACATTTCAGTTTAAATTATTTATTTTAGTTTATATTTGGAAAAAGAGTTTATTAATTCTGAGTTTCCACTTCAGATCGTAGGCGGGAGTTTCTGCAGGCGGCGGTTTGGAGTGTACGTACACCTCAGGAGTGCGCGCCGCGCACTTCAGATTTCCACTTCGCCACAATTAACATTTTGGGTTCAAAAAAAGCAGAAAAGATTTTCTTTTTGGTTTTTATGATAACTTTTATCATTTTAAGTTCCACTTCGCGCTATTTCCTCTTTATCTTCGCCTTTTCAGCTGCCGACCTCCCAACTTGAACAGTGAGTCTTTGGCCTGCTGCTGCTCTGCAGCACTGCTGCTGCTGCGCAGCAGCATTGCTGCTGCTGCTGCTGCGCAGCGTTGCTGCTGCTGCTGCTGCGCAGCATTGCTGCTGCTGCTGCTGCTGCTGTGCAGCAATTGGTGGATTCCGCTCTGTAGTGTCAGCAGCAAGTGCGGAGCTTGAGAAGCTGTTGGAGCTCGCGAGAAGCTGCATTCCAAGAAGCTGGACAGCAGCAAAGGCGGAGCCGACAGAATGGTATTTTTGATTAAAATGAAATTAAAAGAAGTGTTTGGAGTTCAGTTCAGGTGTATCGACATCGTGGAGGCCCTCGCCAGCCAGCTGCAGCAAACGGAAACTCCGGAAGTTCTCACTTTTAAAAAAGTCAAAAAACAAAAAAAAGAAAACAAAAACGGCGCCCCCAAACGCCCCTACAACAAAAGACGCAAGTGCGAAACGCAGGAAGGCAGCAGCAGCAGCAGCAGCAGCAGCAAAAGCAGCAGCAGCAAAGGCAGCAGCAGCAGAAGCAACAGCGGCAACAGCAACGGCAGCAGCAGCAGCAGCAGCGGGAGCAGCAGCGCCAACAACAGCAACACCAACAGCACCGACACCAACAGCAACAGCAGCGACGGCAGCAGCAGCAACAGCAGCAACAGCAACAGCAACAGCAACAGCAGCAACACCAACAGCAGCGATGGCGACAGCAGCAACAGCAACAGCAGCGGCAGTAACAGCAATAGCAGTGACGGCAGCAGCAACAGCAACAGCAGCAACACCAACAGCAGCGATGGCGACAGCAGCAACAGCAACAGCAGTAACAGCAATAGCAGCGACGGCAGCAGCAACAGCAATAGCAGCAACAGCAGCAGCAGCAACAGCAGCAATAGCAGCAGCAGCAACAGCAGCAGCACCAACAGCTGCAGCAGCAATGGCAACAGCAGCGACGGCAGCAGCAGCAACAGCAGCAGCGACGGCAGCAGCCGCAACAGCAGCAGCGTTGGCAGCAGCAGCAACAGCAGCAGCGTTGGCAGCAGCAGCAGCGACGGCAGCAGCAGCAGCAGCAGCAGCAGCAGCGGGGGAGAAAAAGAAGCAAAAGACCTTCTGGAAGTAGAAAAGGAATAATATTGCAAGAAGGACTTTTTATTTTTCAACTTAAAAGGACTTCAAGAATTGGCAGTCCTGCTGCTGCTTAGACTGGGTTTGCTGCTCTGCTGCTGCAGCAGCAAACGGGAGTCTTCTGCAGCAGCAAACTGCTGCTGCTGAAGCCTCGGGAGGCCTTGTGGATTTGCTGCTGAGGCCATTCAAGTTTAAATCATTATTTGCTGCAGAGCCACTCCATTCGGAGGCCTGCTGCTGCTGCTGCTGCTGCTGCTGCTGCAGCGCAAGCAGCAGCAGCAGCGGCTGCTGCTGCTGCAGTAGTCTGTGCTGCGCTGCTGACTCGAAGGTGCTGCTGTGCAGCAGCAGCAGCAAAAAGAAACGAGGCAGCTGGCGAATAGTCGAAGTTGAGTAAAGAGTGTTTTTTGAAAAGTCTCTAAACCCTAAACCCTAAACCCTAAAAGGTAGTTTCAGTTGAGAAGAAGAGGGTTTGTCTCTGCTGCTGAAGCAGCAGCAGCAGCAGTAGCAGCAGCAGCAGCAGCAGCAGCAGCAGCAGGCCGCCTGTGAAGAACAGTCCGATACGGCAAGTGTACAGACACTTGGATATTTTCGACTACATGCATGGCGTCAGAAAATAAAAAGTAAAAATTTAAAAAGATTTAAAACTTTATTTATTTCATTTTTTATTTTATTTTTCTTTGAAGATGCGGAGTTGGACTTTTCGCATTTTGCTGATCTTCTGTCTTCTGTGTCTCGCAGTGAGTCAAAATGCATCTATTTTGAAATAAAAGTAAATAAAAGTGGACAATAAAAGTAAATAAAAGGAAATAAAAGTCTTTTGAACAACTTTTGTTTGTTTTAAATCAAATGGCTTTCTTTCAGAGCGGATTCGGCGGTGGCCGTTTTGTTGAAGTTGAGCAGACAGCGTGGAGGTGTACGTACACCTGGGAGCGAGCGCGGCGGTCGAGCTGGAAACGGAGTTTGAAAGGTCATTTGAATTATTTTTTGATTTCTTTGAAGTTAAATTTGAATATTATTTGAATAAATGGAAATTAAAAGGCAATTGGCGTTTAAAAAGGCGCAAAGGCGCGGCGAGTCGCTGAATCGGCGAGTTGAACGGATTCCAGGTGGGACCAGCTGCATGCAGACAGCGGGGCGATCTGGAGTTTCCGCGGGTTAAAACAGCGAGAAAAAGAATTAAAAGAATAAATTAATTCGTTTTTGAAATTAATAAATCCCTTTGGAGACTTTTAATTCGATTTAAATGCGGCTTTGACTGCTGGCGGCGCATGCAAGCGAGCCGCGGACCGCCAGCTCGCGGTGTACAGACAGCCGGCGGCGGGCCTGCAGCCGCTCGCGGCGCGGCAAAAACTTCTTTTCAAAAAAGTCTTTTCGCATTTAATCCAACTCTTCGCCCCGCCTCCCGCTGCAGCGCGCTGCTGCTGCTGCTGCTGCTGCTGCGTCGGCGGCGGCTTTGCTGCTGCTGCTTCGCTGCTGCTGCTGCTGCTGCTGCTGGCTGATCTTCCCGCAGCGGCCTTGGAGTTTCTTCGCTGCGAACAAGAGCCTCCAGCCGGGGCCTGCGTGCGGCTGGCAGCCAGGGTGTGCGCAAACCCCGAAAAAGGGTTTGGAGAAACCCCAAAAAAGGGTTTGAGAATGCCGTTTCCGGCCGCGAAGCTCTTCAGCGTGCTGCTGCGGCAGCTAGCCAAGCCCCTGGCCGGCTCGCTGCAGCGGGCAGCAGCAGAAAGCCCCGCCTTCAAAGCTGCATGCGTTGGACTGGCGAATTGCTGCAGAGTTTTGGAGCAGCAAATCACAAACAGTTTTTACGACAGAGACCTTTCTGGGGGCTTTTGGCCGCGGCTCACGGAGGCCAAGGCCGTGCGGCTGGGGGCCACCATCATCGGCGAGGCTTTCGTCTTCGCCGTCGCAGGTCCGACTCGCCAAATTGGAGCCTTTTTGACGCTTTTGGGGCTTTTTAAGGTCCTTTTTCTGTTTTATTTTCCTTTGTTTCTTTTTTAATTTCGAAAAACGGGTTTTTTAAGGGTTTTTTCCATGAAAAACGGCTTTTTTAGAGGGCTTTCTCGAGGTGTACGTACACCCGAGGCGGGTGTACGTACACCTCGGACACTCGCGACCGCGAGTGCACGTGCGGTGTACGTACACCCGAGAGCGCGTTTTTTTCGCTTTTTTTTGTTTTGTTTTTTATTTTGTTTTTTATTTTATTTTATTTTTCTTTTTTGTGCTTTTAAAATGCTTTTTAACTCCAAACTTCGCCAAATTTCCTTTTTTCGCAGCCACCGCCCTCGTCATGGAGTACCGCCGCAGCGCCCTCAAAGAAGCCGCGAAGGAACACCAACTCCAAACCCGCCTCATGACTTTGGAGGTAAACAACAAACAGCAGCAGCAGCAGCAGCAGCAGCAGCAGCAGCAGCAGCAGCAGCAGCAGCAGCAACAGCAGCAGCAGCAGCTTTTGCTGCTGCTGCTGCAGTTCGAGTTGGAAACACAAGAAACTGAAACAAAGCCAATTGCACTCAAATTAACTGAATTAAATCACACGAAACTAAATTCAAATTAAATTAAATTCATCAAACTAATTTAATTAATTAAATTAATTAAATTAATTAATTAAATTAATTAAATTAAATTAAATTAATTAAATTAATTAATTTAAATTAAATTAATTAAAAGTCTTTTGCTGCAGGCCCAAGTGCTGCAGCTGCAGCAAGAAAACGACCGAATGCTGAAGAGCATTTTCCCCGACGACAAATACGTGCGAACTGCAATAGACATTAATCACCAAGAGGAAGGTAAATAATAAATAAATAAAAAATAAATAAATAAATAAATAAATAAATAAATAAATAAATAAATAAATAATAAATAATAAATAAATAAATAATTAATTAATTTAATTAATTTGCTGCTGCTTTTGAACTGCTGCGCAGGATGGCTTAGTTGGCTGTCCAAGCGCTTTTCTGCTGCTGCTGCTGCAGCAGAAACCAAGGAAGAAAATAAAGACTGAGTGTGCTGCTGCTGCTGCTGCTGCTGCTGCTGCAGCAGCAGCAGCAGAAAGCTGCTTCACTTGGCCTCTGCTGCTGAAGTAGCAGCAGAAACTAAGTAAGAAAGTAAACGCTAAGTGCGCTGCTGCTGCTGCTGCTGCAGCAGAAGACTGTGCTTCACTTGGCCTCTGCTGCTGCTGCTGCTGCTGCTGCTGCTGCTGCTGCTGCTGCTGCAGCAGCAGAGGCCAAGTGAGCAGCAGCAGCAGCAGGAAAAGAACACGAAATGCTTTTTGGAAGAGAACGCAGAGGCCTGCAGTGTACGTACACTGGAGACAGCGGAGTTCGCTCTTGTTTGTCTTTTTGCTCTTCAAAAAAGAAGCAAAAGCCCCCACGAGCTGCTGCAGCGAGGGTTTAGGGTTTAGGGTTTAGGGTTTAGCCGCGCAGGATCTGCGTGCAGCAAACCCCCGCGAAGAAGGCCTTTATAGGGCCCCGGCCTCTGCTGCAGCACCCCCACCCAAACCCTGAGGGTTTAGGGTTTAGGGTTTGGCCGTGCATGAGTTAGTGCAGACAACCCCCAAACAGGCCATAAAGGCTCGCGCCTGGCTGCTGAGGGTTTAGGGTTTAGGGTTTAGGGTTTGGCCGCGGAGCAGCCCCCTCAGGCCCGAGCCTCCGCTCCCTTCTCCTAGGGTTTAGGGTTTAGGGTTTAGCCGTGCATGAAGTAGGTGGAGAACACCCCAAAGGCGCGAGCCTCTGCTGCTGCTGCCTGTCCTAGGGTTTAGGGTTTAGGGTTTAGGGTTTAGCTATGTACAGAAAACCCCCGCGGAAAAGGCCAAACCAAAGGCAGCAGCACAACCCTTGAGGGTTTGGAGGTTGGCCTTGCACGAAGTAGGTGGAGAACACCCCAAAGACGCGAACCTCTGATTTAGGGTTTAGGGTTTAGGGTTTAGCCGTGCATAAGATATGTACAGAAAACCCCCGCGGAGAAGGCTAAGGAAAAGGCAGCAGCACAACCCTTGGGGGTTTGCAGGTTGGCCTTGCATGAGGCACATGCAGAAAACCCTCGCAGAGCTCTCCTAGGGTTTAGGGTTTAGGGTTTAGGGTTTAGCCGTGCATAAGATATGTACAGAAAACCCCTGCAGAGAAGGCTAAGGAAAAAGCAGCAGCACATCCTTTAGGAGTTTGCAGATTGGCCTTGCATGAAGTAGGTGGAGAACACCCCAAAGACGCGAACCTCTGATTTAGGGTTTAGGGTTTAGGGTTTAGCCATGCATGAGGTATGTACAGAAAACCCCTGCAGAGAAGGCTAAACCAAAGGCAGCAGCACATCCTTTGGGAGTTTGGAGATTGGCTTTTGCCCACAAATGGGAGCCGACGGAAAAGGGCGGAAGTTCGGAGGCTTTGGAGCCGGAGAGGAGTTTCCAGCCGGTGAGTTTGGGGGTGTAGAGGAGGGGTTTGCAGCCTGCAGGCAGCTCCAGAGGCGTTTTCGGAGCTTTAAAGCGCGAAATTAATGCCAAATTCGGATTTAAAACGAAAAATAAACCTCAAATTGTTCTTTAAAGCGCAAAATAACTCTTAAATGGCTCTTTTTGCTTTTTTTGGACCCGCGTTGTGCGCGCGCCGCGCGGAACTGGGGTGTACGTACACCGCGCGAACGCGGCGCAAAAGGAAAGCGCAGCTTTCCGGCGCCATTTCGGCGCCATTTCTTTCGTTTTTTCGCTTTTTCTGCAGCATTTGCGGAAATAAAGAACTTGGACTTTTATTTAAATTCAAAAAACCGAAAAAAAACGCAAAAAACTCACCGTTCGCCGCCTGGTTCTTCAAGTCGCACCACGGCTGCGTCTTGCACTTGCCGCAGCTGCACCACCAGTACACCTGAACGCATGCACTTCAACTCAACTAATTCCATTAATTAAATTAATTTAATTAATTCAATTAATTTAATTAATTCAATTAATTTAATTAATTCAATTAATTCAATTAATTCAATTAATTTAATTAATTCAATTAATTTATTTAATTCAATCAATTCAATTAATCTGCAATTCGAATTCAAGTCGGATCTGTCGCTGCTTCGCAGCTGCAGAGCTGCAGCAGCAGCGCACGCAGCCCGCAGCTGCTGCTGCAGGCCGTGCTGCTGCTGCTGCAGTCCGTGCTGCTGCTGCTGCAGTCCGTGCTGCTGCTGCTGCAGTCCGTGCTGCTGCTGCTGCAGCAGGCAGGAGGCAGGAGCTGCTGCAGCAGACATCATGCAAAACAGCAGCTGCTGCAGTGCGAGCACTTGCTGCAGCAGCAGGCAGCGCGCACAGCTGCTGCTGCTGCAGGCAGCACACACACTTGCTGCTGCAGCCTCCAGCTCGCCCAGCTGCTGCTGCTGCAGCAGACTTGCTGCAGCAGCAGCAGCAGCAGCAGCAAGAGTCTCACCTTGCCCTGCTCGCAGTAAACCCAGTAAGGGTTTAGGCTCGCGGGCTCCGGCATTTTGTCGTGGGGCCACCAGTCAGTCCAGACCATTTTGAAGAAATAAATAAATAAATAAATAAATAAATAAATAAATAAATAAATAAATAAATAAATAAATAAATAAAAATAAAAATAAAAGAAAAGAAAAGAAAAGAAAAAAGAAAAAGAAAAGAAGAAGAGAGGACGCGGGGGATGATCTGCAGGCTCTGTTGTCTTTTTTTGAATTCTTTTTCGAATTTCTTTTTTGTTTTCTTTTTTAATTCTTTTCTTTTATTCTTCTGGCCGTCGCAGCAGCAAAAGAGCAGCAGCAGCGCTGCTGCTGCTGCTGCTGCTGCTGCTGCGGCGCATGCAGGGGCTGCTGCAGCGGCTGCTGCTGCAGCTGCTGCAGCTGCTGCTGCGTCGCATGCAGCGTTTTTAAACATTTAATTAGCACTTGTGCAGCAAAAAGTAATAAATTAAAACTCAAAAAGAAATAAAATTCAAAATTGAAAATAAATAAAATTCAATTTCCACTTTTCGCCGCTGCGCAGCGAACGCGAGGTGTCTGTACACCTCAGAGCCCCTGCGAGCCTCTCCGCAATTATCTTTTCCTTTTTTCATTTCTTTCTTTTTATTCTTTTCGTTTTCCACTTTAATCCATTTTAACTCCAAATTGCAGAAAAACAACCGGCTTTTGGGGGTGTGCTGCTGCTGCTGCTGCTGCTGCTGCTGCTGCTGCTGCAGTCCCAGAGAAGCAGCAGCAGCAGCAAAGAAGTTAAATCGAAGTTAAACTTCCAAAAAATTCAAATTGAAGAATTTCCGAATATTCTTCAGTTGAGTAAAACCCACTGACACCGCTTCTACGGCTTCAACAGCAGCAGCAGCAGCAGCAGCAGCAGCTGCTGCTGCTGCTGCTGCTGCTGCCAGAAGCCTCTCTCTCTTTGCTGCTGCCAGGGGCCCCCTGGGGCCCCCCGGGTCTCTTTGTGCCCTTTTGTGTCTCCAGGGTTTTTGCTGCTTTCTCAGCCCGAGACTTCTGCTGCTGCTGCTGCTGCTGCTGCTGCCCGCGATGGAGCCGCTGGACTACCAGCAGCAGCAGCAGCAGCACGCGTTCCCTGCTGCTGCAGCAGCAGCAGCAGCAGCAGCACAAGCGAGCGAAGGCCCGCGAATAGCCGCAGCAGAAATGCAAAGCAGGTCTGGCCTGTTTGGGGCCCCCGGGGGCCCCCCGGGGGCCCCCGGGGGCCCCTTGGGCTTCGCGGGGCCCCCCGGAGGCGCCGCGGACAGCAGCAGCAGCAGCAGCAGCAGCAGCAGCAGCAGCAGCAGCTGGGAGGGCCGGGGCAGGCGGCCGGGGGCGCTGCAGGACATGCTGCGGGTGCAGGAGAAGCTGGAAGCAGATGTGCTGCTGCTGGAAAACAAAATCTACGAAATGGAAGGAAATTATTTGGCAGCAACAGCAGATGTTGGAAATATGATCCGCGGCTGGGAGGGCTACATAGGTGGGTTTGGGGTGTACGTACACCGCAGCGGCGTGGGGTGTACGTACACCGCAGCGGCGCGGGGTGTACGTACACCGCAGCGGGGCGGGGTGTACGTACACCGCGTTTTTCGGGTTTTTCGCGCGCAGGGGGGAAGCTGGGTGTCGGAGTGGATTTATTTGTTTATTTTTTGTTTATTTGGCTTTTATTTTCCCCTTTTTGGCTTTTTTTCGAAGAAATTCCGAATTTCCGCGCGCTTTCCACTTTTTGCATGCAGCCGCCGCCACCAAAGCCCGCCGCCCCGCAGCCAAGGCCGCCGCCTCCGCCGAACAAGAGCGTTTGTTTTCCCTCACCAGCTCCACCAGCAGGGCCTCCCGCGAACTCTCCTCAGGTGCTGCTGCTGCTGCTGCTGCTGCAGTGCTGCTGCTGCTGCTGCTGCTGCTGCTGCTGCTGCTGCTGTGGTGCTGGTGCTGCGGTGCTGGTGCTGCGGGTGTGGTGCAGTGCTGCTGGTGCTGTTGTTGCTGCAGCTGTTGTTGCGGCAGGGCTGCTGGTGCTGTTGTTGCTGCTGCAGTGCTGCTGCTGCTGCTGTTGCTGTTGCTGCTGCTGCAGTGCTGCTGCTGCTGCGGCTGCTGGTGCAGTGCGCGTCTGCTGCTGCTGCTGCTTTGTGTTGGGGCGCGCAGCAGCAGCAGCAGCAGCAGAAGACCCGGAGAGGCCGCTGCTGGGGGCCGCGAGCAGCAGCAGCAGCAGCAGCAGCAGCAGCAGCACGAACTGGAGCAACGGCGCTGCTTCTCAAGTCTCCAACAGCCGCAACTCTGCATGCAGCAGCACAAATGTGAAAGGAGCAAAAAGACTTCCTTCTCGTCTCGGAGCTGCTGCCAGTTCTTCCAAAGCTGCTGCCAGCAGCAGAAGCTCCTCAGCAGCAGCAGCAGCAGCAGCAGCAGCAGCAGCAGCAGCGCCTGCCGCCCTCGCTGCAGACCCTGCAGCAGGCAGCGCCTGCCACGGCCGCATGTGACCGCTCTCGCGGCAACGCGCGGCTGCTGCAGCAGCAGCTGCTGCAGCAGCTGCAGCAGCTGCTGCAGCAGCAGCAGCAACAGCAACAGCAGCAGCAACAGCTGCAGCAACAGCTGCAGCAGCAGCAGAAGCTGCTGCTGCTGCAGCGGTTCAGGGCTTTTTTGTTTAGGTGCTCAACTCAGAGACAAAGTAAAGGCAATCTGTTGAGGCGCAGCAGCTGCTGCTGCTGCTGCAGCGGCAGCAGCAGCAGCAGCAGCAGCAGCAGCAGCATTTCGCATGTGCTGCAGTTCGTGGATTGGGGTGTAGATACACCCAAACACCT